CTTGATTTCTCATAAAGTCACTGGCTTCCATTTGCTCCATTCTAATTTTTAAGGAAGTATTTTCTTGGGAGAGCTTTTGGACTTCCTTTTCTATTTGGCAAGTTCTGCTTTTTAAGCCATTCTTCTCCTCATTGGCTTTTTGGACCTCTTTTGACATTTGGGTTAGGCTATTTTTTAAGGTGTTATTTTCTTCAATATTTCTTGGGTCTCCTTTAGCAAGCCGTTGATTTGTTTTTTATGATTTTCTTGTATCACTCTCATTTCTCTTCCCAGTTTTTCTTCTACTTCTCTTACTTGCTTCTCAAAATCCTTTTTGAGGTCTTCCATGGCCTGGGACCAATTGATATTTTTCTTGGAGGCTTTGGATATAGGAGCTTTGACTTTGTTGTCTTCTTCTGGTTGTGTGTTTTGATCTTCTTTGTCACCAAAGTAAGATTCTATAGTCTGACTCTTTTTGCGCTGCTTGCTCATGATCCCAGCCAGTTATAAGAATTATAAACTCTTTGTTAAGGTAGGGGTCTGCTTCCAATGTGGAGAATGTACTGTCTTAACCTTCAGGGGTTTTGTGTAGCTGTTTTCAGAGATACTTCTAGGGACCTGTAAATTTTCAGTTGTTCCAAGGTGGTGTGATCAAGGGCGAGGTATTTACTCCTTTCCTGGCCTGAGTTCTGGTCTGTGAGCGACCACAGCCACTTTTTTCTGCCTTGACATTGTGAGGAGGATTCCCTCTCTACTGCCACCACAAACTCCACCATGGCAGTGCTCCTTTTCTCCCCAGGACCACCACCAATTAGAACTGTGATCCAGATCCAAGCACGGGTAAAGCAAGAGAATCCTGCCTCAGCACCAGCAAAGAGATCCCTGCAATCCCCTCTGATCAGCCACTGGATTTCCCCTCCTTCTGTGGGCTAAGAGCTCTGGAAGCAGCCACCACCCCAGGGCAGCACTGAGACTGGGGCTGGGACCAAGCTTTTCTCTCACCAAGTCCAGCAGACCTTTCCTACTGACCTTCTAAGTTGTCTTTGGCATTTGTGGATTGAGAAGTCTGGAAACCCTGAAAGCTGCCTGTGATTCAGTCCCCTGAGGCCTGCTCCAGGTTTGCAGAGGCCTGGTCCTTGCCTGCGGCATGCCCGTGCTAAACTGCACTCCTTTCCCAGCCCAGCGCAATAGACCTTTCCAATCAACCATCCAGGTTGTATTGGGCTGGAAATTTGTTTCACGCTGTCTTTTTGTGGGTTCTGCTGCTCTGGATTTTGTTTAGAGCCATTATTTACAGGTATTTGAAGGTGTTTGGGGGAGAGCTCAAGCAAGTCACTGCTTTTACTCCACCCATGTTGTAACATTTTAATTTATTTTGTTAAACATTTCCCAATTGCATTTAATTTGGTATGGCAGTGCTCAAGAGTTTCTAAGTCTGACACCTCAGTTTTAAGGAATGGTTACAGGTTCACTAGATAAAGGGAAGAGGCACATTAGATCAAGTGGAGGTCAGAGTTTTTTAAATTTAATTCAGTTTGGTTTTCACATCATAATCACTTCTCACTAATCATCCCCACCTTCCATAGTATCTTACCTTATAATAACAGTAACAACAACCAGTTTGGTAGATTTTTCTTATACAGTGGTTTTAACTAACAAAAAGAAAATAAGAAACTTTCTATACTCTTGGTCTTTTTCCTCTCTGCTATCTAAGTCATCTGGGACCATTATCAGTCTTCGAGTTTGATCTAAGTTCTGTCATCTTTTCTTGTTGTTTTCTTTTACATTATTTATTATTTGTGTATATTATTCTCCTGGTTCTGCTTTCTTTGCTTGTATAACTTTGTGCAAGACTTATCACAATTTTCAGGATTCTTCATATTCGTCATTCCTTATGCAATAATTTTTTATTATATTCCTATAATATAATTTGTTCCCCAATTGATGAGTACCTACTTTCTTTCTCATTGCCACTACTATCGAAAGTGCTATTTTGAATTTTTTGGTGTATAAAGGATCATAGCATAATAAAATGCAAACTGCAAGGTACCTCAAAGGGCATCTTTTTCAACTTTCACACTTTTTTCAGTTAAAGAATTGGCATGACATTTCCAAGGTCATACTGCTAAGATGTTTTGTTTTGTTTGTTTTACTGCCATTGGATCCTTTGATGCATATGCACAGCAGTTGTATTACTATATCAAAGAATATGAGCCATTTTGGTAACTTTTCTCACAAATCAATTTCCAGAATGATTGGACCAATCCCTAGCCCCACTAGCATTATATTAGTGTCACATGACATCTCTGACATCAAGTATTTTTTGTCTTTTATAATCTTTAAGATCTTTAATGATCTGGGTGGGTGTGAATTTAAAGTTGTTTTATTTTTGTTTGGGAATGTTTTTTCATATGTGTTTTTACTAAAGGTTTGTTTTGAAGTGTCTGTGATTTCATTGATGTGGGTAATTCATGGTCTGTGAACCTTCCTCCTCTTCCCATCCCACCTCCCCAAGAGGTACAATTAAACAAATTGTCTGGAATTGAAGTATTTTCATGTTGTCTAGGTCACTGAGAGATTGTGACTTTCCCAGATTCACTTTCCCAGTTAGCATTTGTCAGAGGCAGTATTTGAACTCTGGTCTCTCCCACTACAAGACTGACCGTCTGTCTACTATATCATACTGCCTTTCTACTTGTTGATAGATTATATTTATTTTTGAAACTTTTTTCTTGTTCATTTTTTTACAGGGAAAATGACTCAATCTAAAATTTCTGTTGTCAATTCTCTCTATATCTTTGACGTAAGACTTTTTCAGAGTAATGGTGTTAATTTACAAATTGATTCAAATTTTTCCTAGTCGTAAATTTCTCTTTGTATTTTAACTACATTGATTTTGTTCTTGCAAAATCATCTCAATTATAGGCAATCATGATCTAATTTTCAATATTATCTTTTGTAATGTTCAGTGGTATCTCCCCAAGATTGTAAGTTACAGAACCAATGCTAGGCTACATCAAGAAAAGATGTTTCCTCACTAGGAGTTCTGTACACCAGTAAAAATCACATATCTGGTAAAAAAAAAATCTCCTTTATCCCTTTTTCTTGTTGTAAATCCTTTCCCTAATAATTGCTGTGTAAATACACCTCCTTCAGTTCTCTAATTTTTTGTAACAATATGCCCTTCTATATTGAGATCATCAGTCTGCTTCAAGGTTAGTGTGGTATATGGTATGAGATCTTGCTCTAAAATTATTTTCTGTTAAAACAGTGTTTTTAAATTTTTCTCATTTTCTCCTAAAGTTCTTGTTGGATAGTTACTCCTTTCTTTATTAGTTTCTGTTCTTTGATTTACAAAGCACGAGGTTACACATCTATTCATTTGTCAATAAACAAATATTTGTGAATCATCTACTATGTGATAGACACTGTGCTAGGCTCCGGAGATTCAAATCTGAAAAGATATGATAGTACCAGGTTATTAAGGTCCAAGAATGACAGTGAAGAGATTAATTCCCGTATCCACTATGACTTTTAACTAGTCATATTGTTTTTTTCACATATGTTAATTTATTCATTAGATTAATATTTAAGATTATTTCTCCATATTCCCTACATCTTTGTTTATCTAACTCTACATACTTTGACTTAGTCTTCCAAATGGCACGTCTTCTCAATATTTAACCATAAATCATGCTTCTGATTCTGTTTTAAAGCTTTTGCAATTAGCCTTCCTTTTTTTGGGAGACTTTGTCACCTTTTTTTCTTTGTCCTCACCACAACCAGTCTTCTCAGTCCCTCAAAATGTTGCTTATATTCATTTTCTCAAAAAAGCTTTCCCAGGCTGACTATATCAGATGCCAATTACTGGAAGAATTACCAGAGTTCCTCTGTCACAATATATGTTGTCTGGCCATTGTTGTGGTCATCTTCTGTTTTATATAAACTTACAAATGATATGAAATGATACGTGTTTAAAGGTGGTGGACCAATTTGAACCTGTGTTACATATTTTGAAAGGCAAGTTTTATATTATGTGGTACAGAGGATAGATCAATGGGCCTATAGTCAGGAAAACCTGAGTTTAAGTATAGCCTCAGACACGTATGTCACTTAACCTCTGTCTGCCTCAGTTTCCTCATCTTTAAAATGGGAATAATAATAATGGCATCCACTTCTTAGGGTTGTTGTGAAGATAAAATAATATTTATAAAGTGGTTTGCAAATCTTAAATTGCTAAACAAATGCTAGTTATGATGACAATAATATGGTTTTTTTGTTGTTGTGGATGATGTATTTTTACCTAAAACCCACTTCAGGTTACTTCATAAGGAAAAACTAAAAAAAAAAAAAATTAGTCTGTTGTAATAAAGTCCAGCAATACCAATAGTTTTATACTGTTAAGATTCATATGAAGTCACCAGAAAATGTGGAATCATTTAAATTCTTTGTGCTATTAGCTTTATTATCAACCTGATCAATATTACATAGCAGAAACATTACTCTCTGATAAACATGAACATAAATACATTTTCCTAACTATATTGTAATAAAGTTATTTCTACTAAACATATGTTCTTTTTGTTATAAAACATATTTTTCAAAGTAAATTAATTTTTTTTACCAACTCAGCTCATTTTAATATATTCATGTTTATATCTATCTACTCTATGTCTCTTAAGATAAAAATTTAGGTTAAATTGTGACTTGCAGTTAACTCTAGTAAAAAAAAAAAAGTATGTCAACTTTTAATACTGCATTCCAAATTTGAAAACAATACATCAAAGTATATCTTGTTAAAATACTTACTTTAGAAAAAAGTTTCACTGATTGCAATCCAAACTTTCTGAAAATAGACACAAGTGCTCTCAATCTAAAAGTTAATGTTTTGCTTTATTATTTTCAAGAAAGATGAAAACTTGTTTGTTTTCAAAATTTAATGACTCTGCTTTCAAATTATGGAGATTCTCCTTTGGGGACAGTTTTATTTGAATTGTATGTGACACTTTTTATTTCTTTAGGCTATGATTAAAAGTTTCATGGATGTCTACCAACTTGCAAGCTCTAGAATTGCTACATTAGAGAAGGAAATGACATCTCATCGAAACCACATTTCAGCTCTGAAATCAGAGCTCCAAACAGCTTGTCTACGTGAAAATGAAAGTTTACACTCAGTAAGTCTGTGTTCTATTCATCATAATATCCTTTTGTATGTGAATCATTGTTTCATTTATTTTTGTGTTTTTATTTTTGATAAGATCAATGGTCAGAATGAATAATTTAGGGTAAATGGATAACCCGGTAATATAAAATTATTAGCATGCTAATAATTTTATATTAGCATGAAGCAATCTTTCAAGAGAAAATCAAATTTTTTTGTTGCATTTTTATATAAAGATATGAGTATTGTTATTAGTTCTAAAATATACCATCATGATTTCTTTGTGTTTGGCAGCAGAACTGATATTAGGATTTGGTAATATGCATAGTTAAAACATGAAACTGTCTGAAGTTTCAATGTGTCCCATTAAGACAGAATATTATTAATTATGTGTATAACCAAAATGGTAATTAGAACATGTGATTATTCTCGGTAGGAAACTAGACTTATCCATAATACATGCCTAGCTAAAGATGCATGTTGTGATTCATCTATATGATTAAAATTCAGTTTCAGGAATCATTTTATGTTTAAAATTTTAACCCATGGTAAATTTTGTGATTACTTAAGACTAGTAAAATAATTCTTCAGGTTTTCAGGATATATTTGGGGAATTCTTGAACATATATGTATTTATGCCCAATTGAAACAAAGTAAAGATTGAAACCTTTTATTTCTCTGATGACAGATATGTCCATAATGAGATTTATAGTTTGGCTATTTTTGTGCATGTGTGGGGGGGTTACTTGTTCTATTTCCTTCTTTTTTAAAAATTTCACTGCAGAAAAGACATCTGTGGTTTATAAGGGAGAAAGGGTTTCCTTTTGACATTCATTTATTGACCCATTTTAAGTGTTTTTATGTCAGGAAGAGAGTCAGCATTAAAGTAAATAAAATAAATATATAAGAATATAGGTGTTTGGTAACTAAGCCTTACATTTGCTTGTGAGCCTCTTATGCACTCATATCCATTTCTGGTTGAGAAACTACTAAAAATCATCATTACCACAAGAAACCAAAGTAAAAAGAAAACTTTCACATCAATATTTGAAGTTAAACATGTGTCACTCTATATGCTTTCTATGAAATGTTAAGAATTTATTCTATTCTTTTCCTTTAGCTGATTAAAGCTGTTTTGTGTCAGCTTTGTTGGATTGTTCCTTTTTCCTGAGTTTATTGTTTTTATCATTTAAATCAAAGGTAATGTCAAAAAGAAGAGAGCTCACAGAACCTAGAATTATATGACCTATTAAGGGTCCAACTCATACTTGCCAGATAGGCAAAGTAACTAAAACATGTGGAAGGAGGTCCACTGAAGCACAATTAATGTGTATGTGAATTGAGTTAGCCATTCAGCAAAGCATTTGGATTATGTCCCCAAAGTCACTAAACCATGCATATTCTTTGACCCAGTGATACCACTGCTATGCCTTTACCTCAAAAAGATCAAAGAAAGAGGAAAAGGAACTATATGTACAAAAACAGAGCAGTTCTTTTTGTTTTAGTTAAGAACTGAAAATTAGAAAGATACTTATCAATTTGGAAATGCCCGAACATATCTTGGTATATGACTGTAATGGAACTTTATTGGGTCATAAAAAATGAGGAAAGGGACAGTTTTGGAGAAATGTGAAATTGTTACCTGTTTAAAGTGAGCAGAACCAGGATAATAATTTATACAACAACATTGAAAAGAAAAAAAAAACAAAAAGACTTAATAACTCTGATCAGTGTGTAATGACCAGCTCTTACAGAGGACCAATGATGAAGCATGCCACCTGTCTCCTGACATAGAAGTGTTGGACTCAAGGTGCTCAGTGAGACGGATATATTTAGACAGTCAGTGTTGGAATTGGTTTTGCTTGACTGTGCTTATTTATTTCAATCATTTTTCCTTCAGTTTTTTTGGTTGGAAAGGTGTGAAGGAGAGGGGAACTAACAATAGGTTTCTCCATTTACCCCCTTAAAAAGAAAACACAGTTATTGAAGCATTTTTAAAAATGCACAGAATAGAACAGAAGGAGAAGGGGCAACAAGGTGGCGCAGTGGATAGAGCACCGTCCCTGGATTCAGGAGGACCTGAGTTCCAATCTGTTCTCAGACATGTAACAATTACTAGCTGTGTGATCCTGGGCAAGTCACTTAACGCCACTGCCTAGCCAAAATACAAATAAACAAACAAACAAACAAAAAAAACAACAGGAGAGCTAGAAGAAAAAACAGTCAAGCAGAACACATCTCATCAGGAATGTCTACCTTTCTGATTAGACCTTCTGACTAGAGGGCAGGGCCACAAGCCCCAGAAACTATGTTTGAGGAGGGGGCTCAGCAACATTTTTTTTTATACTTCCCAGCACTCACTACTTTTGGTTTCTTTGGAAGTCTTCATCATGCCCTCACACCCTCTACCTTTCTCTGTGAGATTGTTAGCTCCTTGAGGACAGGGACTGTCTTTGTTTATATTTGTACACCCAGCATTTAGCACAATACCTGGTAACATAGTAAATGCTTAATAAATGATTATTAACTATTGACTGTATTTTACTTTGTATTAGAAAATATTCATTTTATTTGATGTTAAGTCCAGAATGATTTTAAAAAAATAATTACATAAGCTGGGCCTGATTTTGATATTCATCTAACCTTAGGGGAGTGACTTCATTTCTCTACTCTTTAGTTTCCTCTTTTTTCAAAATGAGATGATGGACTCAATTATCTCTGAATTCCCTTCCAATTTTTATAGTCTGTTAATATGTCTGATGTGCCGGCAGATTGGTATTCTGTCTACCTCACTGATATAAGAATGACTTCTTAGCAGCCTGTACAAAAGGCACAGAAAGGCCAATGGATTATCATGGTTGAGAAATAATAAGTAGGCTGGTCTGTACATGAAGGATCAGTCTGGAAATATAGACTAGAGTCAGTTTGTAAAGGGTCTTAATTGCCCAACAGAGGGATTTGTATTGTATGCAATAGGGAACCCCGAAAGTTCTTTTTTTTCTTTTTTCTTTTTCATAGTGAACTAATTTTATTCAATGTAAATGTATGATAACAGCATACACAGGCATAATATAAATAGATATACATGAAATGATTAACTGACTAGAACCTTGCAGATGAAGGTTCTTTTCCAGTCACACATTGCTAATTCTTTTTCTGTATCACCTTCTGGATGTTTTGTAGGAAGCTCAAACTCAGCATATCCAAAACAAAACTCACCCTCTAAGCCTCTTCCTTCTCCTGGCTTCTCAATTTCTGTTGAAGGTACCACTGTCTTTGCAGTCATTCATCCCAGGACTTCCACTGGGCAACTCATTCTTCATTCCTATTCTCATATCCAGTCAGTTACCAAATTTTATCACTCCTTTCTTCACCATATTTTTCATGTCTATGTTCTTCTGTCCACAAACACAACCACAGTCCTCGCTCAGAACTGCATCACTTCTTACGTGGGCTTCTATAATTCCCTCCCTGATTCTCATCTTTCCCCCTCCAACTTTAACATATAGTATCCAAAACCATCTTCCTAAGACACAGGTCTTACCATGGCACAGCTGCTCAGAAACCTCCAATGACTCCCAGTTACTGGCTGGATAGAGTTCAAAATCTTTACACTGGCAACTTAGAGTCTGAATTGGCTAGCCACAGCTTTCTCGCCTACTCCAGGCCTCCGTGAACAGCCTGGTTTATCTATCATACTCAGAATATTCTTTCCCTTCTCCACTTTTGCTCATGCTGTGTTATTTACCTGAATACCTTCCCCTGCTTCCCAGTCATCTCTCCTCTTAACTTACTCAAATGCTACGTGTTTTCTAAAGTCACCTATTTCTTTCCTGACCATTTTTGTCTACAATTATTTCTCCCTTCTCTACTTCAACAGCCATTGTTCAAACCATTCATTTGGAATTGAAGTAGCTTTATTACATGTCATCTTTTGTAGTTTTGAATTGTTTTTCAACTTATTAACATATTTCACATATTTATGATTTGTCTTACCAACTAGATTGTAGATTTTTGAGCAGAAACTGAATTCTATTCTTTTTAATTTTTCACAATGTTTAATCCATAGTAAATACTCAACAACTTTTGTTTATTTTCTTTAAAATAATAGAATGCTAGAGTTAGATGATACCTTATAATTAATTGTTGTAAACTATGATTTATAGATGGAGGTACCAAGGTCCATAGAGATGCAGTGGCATGTGCAGTATTTGGAATGTAAAGAAAAATACTATATTGATAATTTACATTAATAATTATTTATTAAAGGAAACATTTTGCATATGTAAATGTAATTTCATCCATGTGGGTAATTCCTAGTGTGGACTATCTCCTACCCCCATGTGGATTGGTAACTCTTTTGTAATTTACAGTCTTAAAAAGTTGCTTGAAGGCATTTAGAGGCTAAGTGACTTTCTCATGGTCACATGGCTAGTATGTTCAGAGGCAGGACTTGAAACCAGGTCTTTCTGACCCCACGGGTAGCCCTGTGTCCATTAGACTATGTATGCTTTCTCTAAAATGGAACATGAATTAGTTAATTCATTCTACCTCTCTGTACCTTAATTCCCTCTTCTCTAAGAGGAGATGATTGTGTCAAATGATCTCCAAGGTCCTTTCCAGGTCAGAAATTTTATGACTCAGTGAACAATCCATGACACTTACAAAACAAAAGTATATAAATCAGAAGGATGCTAAATAAAGAAAAAGATTGATTCAGCTTTTTAAGAGTAGAGTAATTCTAATAAGCCCAAAGAAGAAACCAGGTATTCTGAGAACCAAGAAAGAAATAGGCCAAGTGAATTCATGGCATTGTGGTTTTTAATAATTGAGTAGGAAAATGTGTTAACATGGTAGTGAAACTTTGGGAGCAAAAGAGACTCCTAAGTACAAAAAGACATACTTTGTTTATAACTAGTGAGAGAGAACTTTACTTGGCTTTCTCTGCTCAGCCTATTCTCAACTATTTTAAGCAAAATCTTAGATTTCGTTATTGGGTTAACACATTTTGCT